CCGACCAACCTCATCCCGCCCCCTTGACCTGTCCGTCCTCCCTGGACTGACCTATCCCCTTCCTAACTCCCTACCTACACTCACCTTTCCTGGCCCCATCCCCGCCTCTTCGACCTGTTTGTTTCCTCTCCACCTATCCTCTCCTCTATCCCTCTTCTATCCGCCTCCCACTCTCTCCCTATTTATTTCAAAACCCCCTTCCCCTCCCCCTTTTCTGATGAAGGGTCTAGGCCCGAAACGTCAGCCTCTCTGCTCCTATGATGCTGCTTGGCCTGCTGTGTTCATCCAGCCCTGCACCTTGTTGTCTTGGCAGCTTCTGTGGTGTTGAAGTAGAGGGGCGGCACGGTGGCATAGTGGTTAGCACTGCTGCCTCACAGCGCCAGGGACCTGGGTTTGATTCCACCCTTGGGCGACTGTCTGTGTGGAGTTTGCACATTCTCCCCGTGTCTGTGTGGGTTTCCTCCGGATGCTCCGGTTTCCTCCCGCAGTCCAAAGATGTGCAGGGTAGATGGATTGGCCATACTAAATTTCCCGTAGTGTTGATTAAATGGGTTATAGGGGGATGGGTCTAGGTGGGATGCTTTGAGGGTCCATGTGGACTTGTTGGGCCAAAGGGCCTGTTTCCACACTGCAGGGATTCTATGATTCTATCTTGGAAACCTGGTATCAACATGTCAGGACATGCTCTGTGGGCAACAGCCACAGCTGCCCTATGTTTATAGATACTGGCATCCAACATTTAGCATCTGACATGTACCCCAACCTTTCTGCATTGTGAGGGTACAGCAATGGTCCTCTACAACACATGCCTGCATCACCAGGCTGCTAGGACCATTTGCACAAAAGAACCGTTACCCAGCTCATAGACTAGACTTAGCTGCATCTCAGGTTACTCAGTTGATGTCTTAGTGGTCACTCACTTGTGCCTGCCTGGTGCTTTCCTTTTTGCACTTTGATCCCTCAGCTAGACCTTAAAGGATCACAATATGTCATGTTGTTGTGCTATTTAGCAAAAACACAAAGCAAAGCAGCTTCAGCAGCAACCATAGGGAGAAATCAGAGCTAATGTTTCAAGTCTGGAGACTCTTTATCAGAATGCCAAACACACTACATGTTTTACCATGCCTTGAAATCTAATGCGAGTTGGCCTCAAACAAGTCTGGGATGACACCCTTCAGTGAAGGTGTACGATAAGTCAAGGGTGGTGTCCGATATCTGTCCAGCAGTTTAGATGTGGTCAGACAGCTGGCTGGTTGACAACAGACAAGAATGAGGGAATCGCAACTCTTCAGTGCCAGTAACAGTCTGCCCTCTGGGTCTAGGTGCAACCTCTCATGGGAACACAGCCTCATCGATCCTGGGACTCTTTCCACGAAAAGTCAAGAAGTGGTGATCAGGGACTACTGCTGCAGAAGGGAACATGGAAATTTACTTTTAGGATTGGAGTTAGAAGGCGGGGATGCAGAGGGAATTACAATACCGAAAGAGGACAACTCAATATATAAAAGGTGGGAGATGATAGAGAATGGAAAGGAATCATGCGAGGTGAGGGAAAGGAATCATGCGAGGGGGTTACTGATTTAAATAACACTCTGGCTTTCATGGGGAGACAGTGCACTAGTAGACCTGACATGCTTTCTTCGTACGTCTGGGGTTGGGGTTGGGGTTGGGATGGGGGAGGTAGGGTGAGGTATGGGCGTGGTAAAGTGGTCAGATGAAGACTTTGATAGACAGGTTAGGTGGGGACTTAGAGTAGGCTTTGCATTTCCCTGTCACCTGGTGGGGTGTAACCAAAACAAAGAGACAGAGTCTGAGACTTACTGCATTTACTCCTAGCTCATCAGCCCTGACAAAGAAATCCTAACCACAGCTGTATCCTTGTATTAGTATAGATTTTCTAATCGACCTGACCAGAAATGTTATTACATACCACTGAAACAATTAAGACTTGAAAGCACACCTCCTGGTTCAGAGTTAGGGACACTATCACTGTGCAACCAGAGTCCTTACATTACTACATTAGCTCAGTTAGCTGGACAGCTGCATTTGTGGTGCCTCCATCACAAGTTCAATTCCTGCACCAGCTGAGGTTTCCGTGAAGAGTCCTTTATTCATAAAGAATATCTTTATATACGTTGTCATAAACACAATTCAGTTCTGTACAGTAGCATATCAAAGGAAACAAACAAACATTGGAGTTTGACTCTACCCAATAAATGAACCAAAGGCATCTCTTACTTGTGCAAGATTGTATTTATGTATCATTGAGGCACTGGGAGGGTCTGGTAACTGAACAGACCCTCATTTAACTTGGGCAGAAAGACCTCAGATAGTGGTCTTTCCCCAGTGTGCCTTGGTGGCAGCTGCCCCAAGCTTTAATGCCTCTCTCAGCACCTGTCCTGAACCTTGGAATGTGCTAGTCTGTAACACTTGGTCAGGGCAACTCCTTGTTTTGGAAGACCAAGTTTCAGACAGACCAAAGAGCATCGTTCACTGAGTTGATGGCCCTCCAGGTGCAGTCGATGTTTGTCTCGATGTGCATCTTGGGGAACAGAACATGAAGCATGGAGTCTGGTGTCAGGTGTCACATGGGCAGCATGGTGGCTCACAGTGCCAGGGACCTGGGTTCAATTCCAGCCTTGGGTGACTCCGTGGAGTTTGTACATTCTCTCCATGTCCGCATGAGTTTCCTCTGGGCAGCTCTGGCTTCCTCCCACAGTCCAAAGATGTGTAGGTTAGGTGGATTAGTCATTGGAAATGCAGGGTTACAAGGATGGAGTGGGTCTGGGTGGGAAACTCTTTGGAGGGTCGGTGCAGAACTGATGGGCCAAAATGGTCTCTTTCTGCAGTGTAGGGATTCTATGATTTTTGAATTTAACAAATTAATAAATAGTGATGATCACAGGTAAACACCTAACGCAACTAATCAGAAGCAAACATTAAAAATCAGAGCTACACGAAACTTATTAATAGAACTAAGTGTTGAACTGGGACCTGAACTGAATTGCATTGTTGAAGAATTCAACAATCTTGGAGAGTTGGCGTAGGAAGTTTACCTGGAGGATAGCAGAGCTGGACAAATTTATTTCAATTTATTCATGAATGCGGGTATCGCTGGTCGGGCCGGCATTTATTGTCCATCTCCAGTTGCCCAGAGGACAGTTAACGGTCAAGCACATTGCTGTGGTTCTGGAGTCACATGTAAGCCAGACCATGTAAAAATGGCAAATTTCCTTGCCTAAAGCGCATTAGTGGATCAGATGAGCTTTCACAATGTTTTAATGGGAAAGACTCTTTTACCCTGAAATTGAATTCAAATTCCACCATCTGCCATGGTGGGATTCGAACTCATGTCTACAGAACATTGACTCGATTTTTTTCTCCCCTTGCCCAGTGCCTTCCCACTTATATCCGTGGTTCTTCTGACGCTTTACATTGACCTGGATGCTGTCACTTTTATATTCTTGTCTATCACAGGGCACCTGTTTCCGCAACACAATCAACTTCCAGTACAGAACTAATCATCTTAAACCATTGCACTTCTCTTATTGTGGCTCACTGCAATGTTCTGATTTCTGTTCATTGAACAGCCATAAACATCTGATTCAGTCCTGTTTAGTTCTCATTTCTACAAATAGATTCTATATTGTTTGTTCTCTTTTCGACTGTTTATTTTTATCCGCATCCAAATGATGTCCAGTATCACTACTATTTCTAGTGTTAGTGTCTAGAGTTACAGTGTCCAATATCACAATGTTCAGCATTATAGCGTCCAGTCTCTCAGTCCAATCTCACAGCCTTGTGTTAGTGTCCAGAGTGACAGTGTCTAGTTATGGTATCCAGCATTGCAGTGTCCAGAGTTAGTGTCCACTTATGACACAGGGATAACAAGCTAAACCAAATCAGCCTCCCTATCACTGGGTTTGCAACAATGAAATTCAACCATTCATTGACTCTCAAGATCGTTCAGTTGTTCCTAACCAGAATTTACATCAAGTTTATAACTTAAACACAAATTAATAATTTATTAACAACAATGTAACTTTAGCAGAATACAGATAAATAAGGTAATGTTATAAACATCCCTGATCTGATCCCAATCTTCTTTGATCATAAACCTGTCACTCGCACACCAACACAGTTAAGGGATACATTCTTTAAAAATTGTAATTTGCCAGTTGCTAACAATTTCAATGATAAACAGTGGGCCTTCATGAAATCCTTTGATGCTGGTTGGTATTACAGGCACAAAAACCGTATGCTTTGTTTGAATTCCAAAGTCACCAGCCAATGCAAACAACTTCTGCAGACCTCAGAAGACTTTTACACATTGCTTATGACTTGGATTCTTGTCTCAGACCATTTAGCAAGTTGATAACTGGGAAAATAACTAGACAAAGCTAAACCAAAAAAACAAAACCAGCCCAGTCTAGCAGCTTCCAAAGAAACACTTCCTCCAAGCCCAAAATCCAGTCAGTGAGGTCACTCATTGTTTTCCCTTTCTTTCTCACCATTTTCTGTGGTTGCCTGACCGGCAGCATTCCTCTTACTGAATGACCAATTCAATATCCATCCAGCTGTCAGTCCCTGTGTTGAGTTCCCTTTTAGGAGATTCTACACACTTGATACAAATGCAATATGCCAACTTCTGTTTATTTAAGCAAGTACAAGCTTTGGAGGATCACTTAATCTTCGCAGGGCTTGCGGAGCCGTGTCAAGCGATGCTCTCTGTAAGGGAACCGTCCTCCCTTTATATAGGTTTTTACAGCACAGTCAGACATGCATACAAGATACAATTATTTTCTCCCCCATAATCACATAACTTAATCATCTAACAGTAAAACAAAGGTTAGCTGCCCAAAAACAATGTGTAAGACAAGGTAGTTCCTTATCCTTTTAGCATTTACAGAGAGCAGAGTATAATTAGATTACCACTTTTTGTCTGCGAGACAGGGGCACCCACGAAGCACCACATTTCTTATGTCAGCAGAACAGATATTAACCCTTTAACATTTCACCCGAGCAGAATAACATCTCAGTGCTGAAACATCTACTCTGTCCTTAAGAACAGTAATTCATCTGCATTATCTTTCCAGGCCAGTTCCTAACAGCAAACAGTCTTTTGTCTTTCCTGGTTTGTTCAGAAAGAAGAAAAAGCTGCTGTTCAAAGTTCAATTCTCAACTTCGACTCAGAGTTCTGAACCAAAAATGAGAAAAATAAAAGAAAAATACTGATGGTTACAAAACCAATCTCTCAGTGTCCAGTCTCAGTGCCTAACATTTACAGTGCTAAGTCTCACAGCACCCAGTGTTACTGTGGCTAGTATTTCAGTGCCCAGTCTCCACAGTGTCTAACATTACAGTGCCCAGTCTCTCAGTGCCGGTTATTACAGCCACCAGTGTTATAGTATCCAGTCTCAGTGCCTGGTCTGCACTGTATTTCCAATGTCTCACCCACCACCATTGCCGAGACTTATTCTGTCTCAACCCCCAACCCAGTTCCAGTTTCACCAAGTGTCCTGTTTCGGAGATATTCCTCCATGCACTGCACGGCTGTGTTGTCCATGTCAGGGTCAAACTTGTTTGCAAAGAAAGGTCTCTGGTGGACGACCCACTGTAGATCTCCTGCCCCGTACACACAAATCAAGTGGCGGTACCTTCCTGTGCAGGGAGGGTACAGGGCACCCCTTGTGATGTCACCTGCCTCAAAGGACCACTTTACTGCCCGACCAAGGGTCCTGGTGGTTCTTTGGGTGTACGAGATCGAGCCAGGCACATTGGGCATTCTCAGCAGGGTCGCCCACACATGCTCATCCGGACTGTAAGTGTCCTCTGACCACTTGAGGAAGGCCCGGACCTCAGCACTGGCAAACACGTAGCTGACAAACTCTCTGGTGGCCATGATATAGGCGCTGCCCACGAAAACAGGGGAGCTGATATTCGGTTGGTCCTTCAGTTGCGCTGTCAAGACCACCTGGTTGTGGATATCGTAGTGGTATTGCCAACGTTTCTAAAAGGCAAGCACAAGGGAGAGTGAGAGAGATGAGAAAATATAAACAATAACTTATCAACTTTGCCTGCAGTTATCTCTCGATTCCTCTGTGCTCCCCTCCTGCCCTGCCCCATTGTAATCCATGTGCGTTCCTTCTCTCAGTTATGCATACCCTATATCAGAGAACAAGGCCATTCAGCCCCTCGGGCCTCTGCTGTTCCTAACACCTAGTGCCACTCTCCTCCCTTTTCCCCCATATACCTGCATCTCAAACCATATCCCAACAGTCATTCGCATAGCAAACATAAAACTCATCCTTAAATTCTCCCAGTGGATCTGGCTCCCGAAATAAACTTCAAGCTCTGCTCTCTGAAGTCTACAGCACCAGAAAAAGAAGGGGTCCTTTGATTCTGCGTGTCTTCACTGGCCAAAAAACAAGCTCCTCACTGTTCTAGTCCCATTTTCCAGAATAAAAACTGAAACAACTGCGGATGCTGTAAATCAGGAACAAAAACAAAGCTGCTGGAAAAGCTCAGCAGGTCTGGCAGCATCTGTGAAGGAAAAAACCAGAGTTAACGTTTCGGGTCTGGTAACCCTTCCTCAGAACAGTCAAAACATCAAACTCCTAGCTATTATAGTCCCATTTTGCGGCACTTGGTCCAGAGCCTTGTGTGCCTCACAAAAGCAATGAAGACACCTTCTTATTCATTACTGCACTGCATCCAGGTAGTGGGGAGTAGATTCCTGACATTGACATACCTGGTTATTTGTCTCAGGCTTGTCCCACTCCTGGAGTGGGAGTTGAATCCAAAGCTTCTGCCTTGGAGGGAAGGACACCACACACCATGTCAAAAGATATCTTTTACTTTCAGTCCTTGTGGCATCAAGTCATGAGAGGTAAGGAATCTTGGTTGCCAACAGGCAGTTAGATTATCAAGGATATGCAGGAATGTGAATGGTGGAGCAGGCTCAAAATGCCTAATGGCCTACTATTGTTCCTGGTGCATGTGGGAGCAGCTTTTTTTTTTTTTAAATCCACCTTACATGAGAACTTGCCATCACCTCATACACATCTGACCAATCTCCTCTCATTCTCCATTATTTTCCTAAATTAGCCTTGCAGCTAACATCTCCAGTCTTACTTACAATCCTCACTTTATGTCCCTTGTAACCTTTCAATGTTACTGTTGATGAATGCACTGAGTTTAGACTTCATTTGCCTTTCAATTCCTTAGATCTCCTGACCATGCCTCTAACCCAAAATCTTGCATCTGCATTCCACTGCACTTGTACAATTGGTGAACTGTTAAGTGTATTTCCTTGACTTCATTACCTGGTGCTAATCCTGTACCCAATCTTCTTTACTCCAATGGAAACATCATTGGCCTTTCCAACTGAGCCGGCCAACAAAACCCTGACACCATTCTGCAAAATCTCCTCTTCCCACTGTCCTGAGGGCCCTCACATCATTTCATAGTGACTAGAATTGGATGTAATCATCCAACTGGGGCTAAACCAACGCTACATGCAGCATAACTCAACTGTTTATTGGCATCAATGCCTCTATTAATGAAGCCTTATGCTTTGCTACACTCTTAAGGCCTCCTCCAGCTTCAAATGTAGATGAATGTTTAATCACCAGATCCGTCTAATCCTGTGCACTCTTTACGATTGCGCCATTATGTCTCTATTACATCCCCACATCCCTTCTCCCAAAACATATCACCTCACACTCTTCTGTATTAACCTCCAACTGGATGCTGTCTGTGCATTCTGGTGGCTGTGGACAATTTGTATCACTCTCACTGTTTGCCAATCCTCCAGGTTTAATCATCACCCCCAAATATTAGCATTTTGTCTCATAATCCAAGATCGATAGCACTGATGTATTGAAAAAAAGCAGAACTACCTGAATGGTTATAAATTGGGAGAGGGGAGTGTGCAGCGGGACCTGGGTGTCCTTATGCACCAGTCGCTGAAGGTAGGCATACAGATGCAGCAGGTGGTAAAGAAGACAAATGGTATGTTGACCTTCATTGTGAGAGGTTTTGAGTACAGGAGCAAGGATATGTTGTGCAGTTATATAGGACCTTGGTGAGGCCACACTTATAATATCGTGAGCAGTTTTGGTCTCCTTTTCTGAGGAAGGATGCTTTTGGTCTCGAGGGAGTACAGCGAAGGTTTACCAGGCTGATTCTGGAGATGGCGAGACTGACGTATGAGGAAAAATTGACTAGGTTAGGATTGTTTTTGCTGGAGTTCAAGCAAATGAGGGGGCTATCTCATACAGACTAATAAAATTCTAACAAGACTAGACAGGGTAGATGCAAGGAGGATGTTCCTGATGGTGTGTGTCCAGAACCAGGAGTCACAGCCTGAGGATTTGGGGTAGACCATTAGGACGGAAATGAGGAGACCTTTCGTCATCCAAAGAATGGTGAACCTGTGGAATTCATTATCACAGGAAGCAATTGATACCAAAACATAGAATGTATTCAAGAGGCAGTTAGATATAGCATTTGGGGACGAATGGCATCAAAGGTTATGGGGAGAAAGCAGGTTTAGGCTATTGAGTTGGATTACCAGCATTGATCATGATGAGCGGCAGAGCAGGCTCGAAGGGCTGAATTGTCTCCTCCTGCTCCTGTCTTCAATGTTTACATGTTTTTAGGTCTATTTAGGGCTGAGATGAGGAAACATTTCTTCATTTGAAGAAAAGTGAACTTATGGAATTCTCTACCACAGAAAGCTGTGGAGGTTGAGTCACTGAATATATCCAAGAAGGCGAGTGACAAATGTTTAAATGTCAAAAGAATTGAGGGGCATGGGGAGAAAGTGGGAGTATTGCGCTGAGATAGAGGATTGGCCACAATCATATAGCATGGTGGGCCTGATGAAGGACTGAATCATCCTCTCCTGCTCCTAGTCTTGATGTTTCTATGGCCCAGCGAGGGGAACATTACCACTTACCAACCTCCTGTCCAAAACAAGATCCATGAATCATGACTTGTGTTGTCAATTTTCTTGTCCAGCCCTTTATCTGGTGCCTAGTGAAATGCTTCATTGAATTCAGTTCAGACAATATTCCCTGCATTAAAATTCTCAGCTACTTCATCAATGCATTAAACAAGGCTGGACATTTGCCTTTTGCAAACCAGCACTATCTTCTCTTCATTAACTCGATCTAAGGTGGGTTGATGTGAATTGCAGCCATAACTACAAGCATTAAAGTCAAGCGCATGTTATAAAGTAAACCAGGGTCCATGTGGTGGGAGCCTAGGAGACCCAGTTTCAAGTCCCACCGGTTCCAGAGGTGTGCCATTACATCTTTGAAAAGGTTAGCATATATAAGACCATTAAGTAGACACAGGAGTAGGCCATGTGGCCCCTCAAGCCTGCTCCACTATTCAATAGAATCACAGCTGATTCAACATTCCTCACATCCACTTTCCTGCCCTTTCCCTATAACCCTTAATCCCCCACTGACCAAGAATGTATCTATCTCAGCTTTAAATATACACAAGGACTCTGGCCCCACAGCTCTCTGTGGCAAAGAGTTCCAAAGACTCTCAACCCTCTAAGAGAAGAAATTCATCCTCATCTCAGTCTTAAATTGGTACCCCTTTATTCTGAGACGATGCCCTCTGGTCCTAGACTCTCCCATGGGGGGGAAACATCCTCTCAGCATTTACCCTGTAAAGCCCATTAAGAATCCTGTATGTTTCAATGAGATCACCTCTCATTCTTCTAGACTCCAGTGAGTAGAATCCCAACCTGTTTAACCTTTGTTCCTAAGACACAATCCCTCTACAGTAGGGACCATCCTAGAGAACATTCTCTGAACTTCCTCCAATGAAACAACATCTTTCCTTAAATAAGGGGACCAAAACTGCTCACAGTACTTCAGATGTAGTCTCACCAGCACCTTGCACAGTTGCAGTAAGACTTCCCTACTCTTATCCTCCAACTCCCTTGAAATAAGGGCCCCAACATTCTGTTTCAGTTCTGAAGGAGGGTCACCAGACTTGAAACATTGACTCTGCTTTCTCTCCATAGATGCTGCCCGACCTGCTGAGTTTCTCTAGAAATTTCTGTTTTCATCCAATATTCCATTGCCCTTCCTGATTACCTGCTGCCTGTGTGCTAGCTTTCAGTGTTTCATGCACAAGTTCCCCCAAGTCCCTTTGTGTTGCAACTTTCTTGATTTAAATAACATTGTTTTTTTTTCCCCCTTCCAAAATGAACAATTTCACATTTTCCCACATTGTATTCTGTTTGGTCAACATTTTTGCCAACTTAGCCTATCAATATCTGCCTGTGAAGCACATAAGACAACACTTTACTGTACCCCGATATACATGACAGTAATAAATCAAGTCAACCTTGGAGTACAACAGGATCTTGATCAGGTGGGCCAATGGGCTGAATAGTGGCAGGTGGAGTTTAATTTAGATAAAGGAGAGATGCTGCATTTTGGAAAGACAAATCAGGGCAGGACTTATACATTTAATGGTAAGGTCCTAGGGAGTGTTGTGAACAAAGAGACCTTGGAGTGCAGGTTCATAGTTCTTTGAAAATTGAGTCACAGGTAGACAGGGTAGTGAAGAAGGTGATGCTGTGCTTGCCTTTATTGGTCAGTGAATTGAATATAGGAGGTCATGTTGCAGCTGTACTTGACATTGGTTCGACCACTTTTGGAATACTGCATGCAATTCTGGTCTCCTGCTATAGGAAGGATGTTGTGAAACCTGAAAGGGTTCAGAAAAATAATTACAAGGATGTTGCCAGGGTCAGAGGGTTTGAGGTTTCGGGAGAGGCTGAATAGGCTGGAGCTATTTTTGGAACATCAGAGGCTGAGGGGTGACCTTACAGAGCTTTAAAAAAATCATGAGGGGCATGGATAGGGTGAATAGTCAAGATCTTTTGCCCAGGGTGGGTCCAAAACTAGACGGCATAAGTTTAAGGTGAGAGGGGAAAGATTTAAAATGGACCTAAGGGGCAAAATTTTCACACAGAAG